AAAAAGAAAAAAGAAATGAGACCAATTAAATAGATAGGGGAAGGATCTCTTGCAATAGGGAAGAGGACTGATGGAACAAAGGGCAAGGGTGAGAAGGAGGGAAAGGGGAACAAAAAGAAAAAAAGTAAACCATGTCCAGGAACCTAATATGCTCAATTAATGTAAACATTATATGCCACAACATGAGCTAAGATTAATACTATAATGTCAACAAGAACGAAAACTGAGATAGAGGAACTGAGGAGGAGGGAAGGAGGGAAGGAAGGGGGCAGGAAAAGGGAAGGATGATTTAAAAAAAGAGACTGGTTACATGTAGTATGTACATGTAACCATTCCCCAACATGACTGTAAACTGCATGTACTATAAATTTAAGAAGAAATCAGACCAACATCTCAGACTGAAAATTTTGCTTATAAAGACTAAAAATGCCCACCAAGTGCTCAACACTACGTGTGAGGGCTGGTCAAATAGCTCAGCAGATTAAAGCGCCTGGCAACAGACACAGGGGCCAGGGATTGATCCTCAGGCCTGCCGCCCGCTGGCCCTCCCCCGGGTGTGCTGAGAAAGCAATTGAGATTGGGCGTGGTGGTGTACACCTGTAATCCCAGCTCTTGGGAAGCTGTAAACAGGTGGATCACTATGAGTCCAATCCTGTAGTGAGACCCTGAACACACTTTAGACCCTTCCCTAAAATACAAACAACAACAACAACAACAACAAGAAAACCACTATGTGTGAACAAGTCCCCAGAGGTGGCTCATCACAGTGACACTTAACAATGCTTTGATTAAAGACTGATACAGGGTTTCTGGAGACCTGAGTTGGAGGGAGGAGCATCAGGGATAAAATTTACTTCAGATTTCTCCAAAGCAATAATGAAAGCCAAAGGATGAAAGTGCCTTTAACATTCTCCAAGAAACTTTTTCCAATTTAGAACTGCACAGCTGGCCAAACTTTCAATCAATTATGAGGATAAATGAAGCATTTTCAAGCAAGCAAAAACCCACATCTCAGGAAGTAATCAAAAGACACATCTAAACAAGCTGAAAATAAACCAAGGAAGGAAACAGTGTAGGAAAAGGGGGACACACCATAGAAGGTGGAAACAAAGCTACACGTGATAAAAAATAAAGACCAGGGTGTGGGTCTGGTGAGCAGCCAGTTCAGACTGAGGCAAGAAGACAAAGAAGGTCTCCAAGGGTGTGTGGGGGCAGGAGGGATAAATCACCTGATACATATCATTCACAGTGCTGAATTTTAGCAATTTCATCATAGTGAGAATGTATGTCATTACAAAACAAGAAAAATTTCAAATGAGCCAATGATTAGTTCCAAGAAAAATAAGTTGTTAGTTGTACCATAGCATATGGATCATTTATGGACAATATTTACATAATCAAAATAATAGAAACACAGAACTAAATCTGAGATCTTCAGAGTGATGAGAGGAAAATTTACATGGGAGGTGGGGTGAGAAGTACTGTAATAAACTTAAATCCTCATCTGCCTGTTAGTAGGAGGAATATGATCAGATACAGGTTATCTGAAAAACGGTAAAATATGTGTATGTTATTTGGAAACACATTATTATTTAAAAGTCATAGTAGAAGAAACATCAACCAATTAAGTGGCTGCTTCTGAGGAGTGTGACTTTTGGAGGGGACTGCTGTGTGTGTATATGATAAGCCTTATGGAACTAATGTGGTTTTGAACATACAATACATGTAACATTTTTATAAGGCTTTATGGTACATGCTTCACATCCCAGCATCTGTGAGGCTGAGGCAAAAGGATTATAAATATGTGAGCCCAACCAAGAAATCTAGCAAGAATCTCTCTCTCTCTCTCTTTCTCTCTCTCACACACACATACACACACAGCAAGGAGACAGCTCAGTACAAAAGTCCTAGGTTCAATTCCCAATTACAGTACTTCTCACCCCACCTCCCATGTAAATTTTCCTCTCATCACTCTGAATAGCTCAGATTTAGTTTTGTGTTTCTATATATATTCCTACATCTTTAGGAATATAATAGATCTTCAACATTCTAAAATTATAAACTCTCAGATCTTTGCAAATCTCCAAATTCACAGATATGATAGCATTTCACAAAAATTGCTGCAACCTGACAGCAACAGAGATGTCGAGCTGTTCACCAGGTTTGACTACTTGCTCTGGTGTCCTTGCCTTATAGAACTATCTAAAGTTGTTCAAGATCCTGGGAAATAACTGATAGGTCAAAGTATTAAATGCACAAACCCCCAAAGTACTATCCATTTTAGCGTACCTGATAACAAAGTAGTGAAATGGTGGAACGCCTCAAAGTAGTAGCTGTGTGTTGGCCGTATTCTTTTACATACTTTTTTAAAAAACTTTTTTTTGCAGGGGATTGAACTCAGGACCCTGTGCTTGCCAGGCAAGCACTTATTCTAATGAGCCATCTCCTCGCCCCCCCCTTTTTTAAACTTTTGATGACTTTGCAACAACAAAATATGCTACCTAAACACACATATTCCCTCTAAGGATGTCTGCTCTTTGCTATCATGTATAAGAAAGCAGATTCCTGCTTCCTTCATCAAGATTCCCTACTGGGAGCAAACAACAAGCAATAATACACCATCCCCAACCTCTGACCACCTCTCAAGGACAAAGACATCAAGGCTTTGGGAAAATTAAGCAAAATACAGTTACTGTTAAGTACACTCCAAAACTAAAAGGTGCCAGGTTCCAAAAAAGTGACTATTTTGTAGCTGGAAAACCGAAGCAACATGCTGGTTTGAGAAGTAAATTTTGTTGCAAATATACAAGCCTTAAAGTTGCAGTAAATACTAAGATGCCATGTAAATTTAGGCCTTGTGAGAACAACAAGCAGCAGCAGGCTTTCAGTTCACTGCTTTCTCTACCACCACTGAGAATACAGCTACCACTTAGCCCAATAAATAAGTTTATTTATGTGCTAAGTGAACAATCTTTAACACATTTGATTTATATATGAACATACATGCTTTTCAATAATATACTTTATGTAGAAAAGTGCACCCATAATCAAATATCATTTACTACCCTATCAAGTGGTTTCCTGCTTGTCTGTCAGGAAACGACCACCTACCTACATTGCAGAAAGCATCTTAACATTCTAAATAATTTATTATATATTACATTATATTATTATGTTTGCAACAGATAATGAACACAACCACCATGGAGA